AAAATGCATACATACCAAACAACACACACACAAACACGCCCGCACATACACCTCCACCCACCATATTACAAACACACACAACCCCCCCCCTCCCCGTCACACACACACACACACAATCCTCCCCCCCCCTCCCCGTCACACAACACACACACACACAACCCCCTCACACACACACACACACACACACACACACACACACAATCCCCCGCACACAAACACACAGATATCGCGAGACATCATTAACTTTTCACATTACTCACGAATGGTCGACAGGCGCGTCGGGATGGGGGGGGAAGGGGGGGCCCACGGAGACCAGGAGGGGTTGAGTTCCACGGGGGTGGAGTCTCCGCACTCTGGGGGCGGGGTGAGGGGTGAGGAAGTACGGTACACATTTGCATAATTACGTTTGCTTGCTTCCTGTCTTCTGTTTGCCTGTCTCTGTCTCTCTCTATATCTATTATATATGTATATATATATATATATATATATATTATATATATGTTTGTATATAATGTGTGTGTGTGTCTGTGTGTGTGCGTGTGTGTGTGCGCAAGTATACGTTAAGTATAATTTATGATATATGAACAATGATCATATAATAAAAAACAAAGTGCTATAAAGGGATGTGTTTAAGTAATTACCTTTTCAAAAAATCCTTAAAAAGGAGTAACACACAATTGGGTTACTACATGCGAATATAATAGTTCGTAGTATTTACTAATGACTAAGTTAATTAATGTGTGCGTGTGTGTATTTGAGTATATGTGTATGTGTGTGTGTGTGTGTGTGTGTGTGTGTGTGTGTGTGGTGTGTGTGTGTGTGTGGTGTGTGTGTGTGCGTGCGTGTGTGTGTGTGTGTGTGGAAGGAGTACGTATCCATATATATAATAATAAAAAAACATTGATGTGTGTTTCATTTCATAGTTGCACACACGTTACTATGTATCTGTATTTTGATCATATACCCACATCTATCTAATCTATCGATCTATCTACATATATCTACGACATATCTTATATCTTACAACAACGGAAACCGGTACACACAATACCTCATCAATGCCAGAGCAATCTACAACAACATACAAGGCCAAACATACAACCAAATAAAATAAAACCAATAAAAGAAAGCTACTCAAAACTAACAGCAAATTAACTACACAAAATACAACACTCACTACCTACAACAACATTACACAAAATACAACACTCAAAACCAACAAACAACTCCCCCCAAAAATACAACACACAAAAACAAGAAAAAAGAAAGAAAAAACAACAACTTCCCCCAAAAATACACCCCAAAAACAAGAAAAAAAGAAAAGAAAAAGAAAAAAGAAAGGAAAAAAAAAGAAAGAAAGAAAAAAAAAAACAAACTCGAACGCAGACCGACCATGAACGGCCAGGCATCCCGAACAGCGGCCGTTCCTCCTATCAGTTTATCAGGAAAATCGAGAACGTTGAAACCAGCTTCGAAACCATGAAGGGGCGACAACCACAAGACTGGACGAATTACTCCCTGTTTACCGCAAACTTAAGAGGCCAGGATGTTGCGGTTTGTTCATTATAAAAAAGAAGGAAAATAAAAGTTAGGATCATTCATTAAAAAGAAAAACGGTTAAAAAAGTCAGGATTATTAAGCTTCTGGGATAATGAATATATAATTTTGAATTTGATGAGTTTATGAGCCGGGTGTAAATACCGTATAAACCGGCGTATAAGTCGATATTTGGTCTTATTTATAGGAGTAATTTTCCATATCTTACCAAAATTAATTCGGGGAGGAGAAATGTCCAAAATGGGGATGAGTGTAGCCGTTGGGTCCTCAGTCACACCCTCTAAAAAAGGAAAAAAATACATATATGATCAAGTTAAAAAGCAAACTTATTATTACAAATAAAATATAAAATTTGAGAATTGAAACGGAAACTATGACTAATCAAAGTATAACAGTACGTTGCATTAAACAATATTTCAACAGTGTAAATACCATAGCAAAGGAAAAATAAATACAACTTTATAAAGGTAAAGACGTATAAACTACAGTAGTAGAAGATAATTAAAGAAAACGGATAAAAAAAAAAAAAAAAAAAAAAAAAAAAAAAAATAACAGCCAACATCACGACAATACTTCATACAAGGACATTCATTACTCATCACAAAATGAATGTGTAATTAGAGGCTCTACTACTAATATAGTACAGAAAAATGGAAGACAAAATCATTAACTAATCATTACGATATTAAAACAACAAAGGGAAGACAAAATCATTAACTAATTATTACGATATTAAAACAACAAAGAAGTAAAGAAGTGTAAAACATACACAATATATATGCGGGTTATATTATAAAATAAATAAATACAAAAACAAAAAAGCAACAAAAAACTAGAATGAGCAGAAAACATTCACACATACATAAATTGATGGAAGCCTACACAGATAAACAAAAATATTATCAAACAAAAACAAAAGAGCTAACTAAACAACCATTCAAAGAAAAAAAAAATCAATACTTCAACTTCCTTATAAGAAAAAAAAAATAGATATAAAGAAAAGGATAAAATACACGCACACAACACACACACACACACACACAAATACATACACAAAAATGACACACACACACAAAATAAACCAAATAATCCTTTGAAAAAAAAAAAAAAAAAAAAACTTAGACTCCCTTACTTGCGTCGTTGGCAGCAGATGAGCGGTTCCCTCCCGACGAAGCCACAGTGAACCGGGTTCTGAACGGCCAGCGTCTGCAGGACCTCAGGGCAGGAGCGGATAGGGCGGCAGTTCCCGGGGCTTCCTGACCTAAGTTGGCAGCTCTCGGATTCCTCCTTGGGGAAGATGATGCCTGATGGGGTGGGGGAGGAGGAGTGAAGGGGGGTGGGGGGGGAGGAAGGGGGGCTAAGGGTGGTGTGGGATGGCGAGGAAGGTAGGCGGTTTGGTGGGAGCGTGGGGGTGAGGAGGGATAGGGAGGAAGGTGGGGTGTGTGGAAGGGGAAGGGGGTGGGGGTGGGGGGGCAGGATATGTGGTGGGGGAAAGGAGGAAGGGGGTTGTGGGGGAAAGGAGGAAGTGCGTTTAGGGGTGAAAGGATTGGAATTGGGGGGTTAGAGGATTGGTGGCGGATGGGAGTGAAAGGTAGGGTAGTGGGAGTGTGGGGGTGCCCCGTGGCACTTTCTCTTTCATGGATGTGTGTTGAGAGGAAGGGGGGTGGCTACTAATTTATTTTCTCTCCATGTGGGAGGGGGGGGTTTTCTGTTCCTGGCTTCCTATTCATTGGTGGGGGCGGGTTTAAGTAAAAAAGGTGGTGGTGTGATGGGTTGTTCGAGGAAGTTCAGGAGGGTGATTAGTCGTTGGGGTGGTGGTAGGTCAATGGGGGTGTTGAGGGGGGAAAGTGGAGGTAATATTGTTCTTTTTTTATTTTTTTCTCCTCTTTTTTTTTCTTTGAATGGTTGGGGGTTCCTGTTAGGCTGTTGGTATAGGAAATGTGGAGGTAAAGGGGTGGTCTATGGGTTAGGTTCTGGGTTCGCGCTGGCGCGGGGGAATTGAGGGGTTAAGCGTAAGCGCGGTGTGGGGGGAAAAGGAGGGCATAAATCATAGAACACCATTTTCTTTTTTACCTTTTCTCGCATCTTCTCTCCTTTCTTTTATTTTTTATCTTTGTGTAGAGGTGTCGGTGTGGAAAGGTTTAGGATAAATTGTGTTTTTGTGTCTTTCTCTTCTTTTTTTCTGTTTTTTTGCTCTCGTTTCTTTCTTGGTCTTCCTTTCTGTTTCTCTGTTTTTTCCTTTTTTTTTCTTCCCCTCGTTTGTTCATTTTTTTTTTCTTTTTTGTGTTCTTCTTTTTTTTTTGTTTTTGTTTTATTTCTGCTTTTTCCTGTTTTTCTTGTCTTCTTTTTTGTTGTGTTGTTCGTTGTTTTGTTAGTTTTGTTTCTTCTTCTTTTTTTTTTTTTTTTTTGTCGTGTGATTCCCTGCTTTTCTTTTTTCTTTCTTTTTTTTTTGTTTTCTTCTTTTTCTTTGTTTTCTCTCCTTTTTTCTCCTTCTTCGGTCGTTCAGCAATTCTTAGCTAAGGATGGCTTTATATCAGTTCACTGCTTCAAGTGATGTCATTGTTTTTCTGTCGGGGCTGTGGATATTCGTATTTTATGGAAGAAAAACTTGCGGACGTCAAGGTTTCTTTTCTCTATGTTGGGTTTCTGTTATGTGTTTGTCAATACTATTTTTATTGGTTTAATTTTTGTTCTTTGGTGGTCTTTTTGTTTGGGTTTTTGTGTTCGGTTCTGTTGGTATCTGGTGTTTTGTTTTTTGTTTGCTTTTCGGTTTTTTCTTGGTGTTTTTTTGGGTTTTTGTTCTAGGCGGGTTCATTTTGTGTTGGGTTGCATGTTACATCTCCATGGATTTGTTTTGATGTTGGGGGTTGTTGTTTTTTTTGTGTTTGCACTTATTTATGCTCTTGTCTGTTATTAATTTTCGTTCGGTGGTAAGTGGGGTGCGTTTTTTGCGCTGTGACGTGTCTCTAGTATCTTGGGTCTTGTGGTCT